ATTCGCTCCTGCTAGCAGCAGGAATCTCCTGCATGCTTGATGTGTATCTGCTGATTCGGGGCTGGGCGACACAGGTTAAAAGTGTCCATAGTATCCTGTTTAAACAATGTTGTTCCAGGGATTTCCAGTGGTCACAAACAGGACCAGGGCTTTGTTGTCTGGCGTCGTGGCTTTTTTTGTTCTTTTTTGGTGTGAATTCCTAGAAACACGAATGCAAGTGACTAACTGGGTTCTGCTCGCCCGACCCTGGGCTTCTCCAAGAGGGTTTTCATGCAGACATGAGAGCAGGAATAATCAATTAATTATCTCCTTTGCGTTGAGCTAAGTCAGGTGTGACTCCGACCACACTCCTGTGGAAGAATCGGGCCCAGCTGGAAACTGGTGTAAGTGATGGCAGACAGGCCAGGAAATCTATATAAAAGCCATGGCCTTGGCTTTGAGCTAAGCTATAGCTGTGATCCTGTTTGGAGCTAGGCAGGCTTTAGTGTGTCCAGTGCTTGCGGGGGAGACAGTGGGAGTGACACCGTGATGCAATTCAGCTCTGCTACTGCTTCACAGCAGGACCTGGGCACATCACCTGCCCGCTCTGTGCCTCAGTATTTCCTATTGTAAAACAGGGACAACTGGAGATCTAGCACTGAAAAGCATTAGCACTGCAGATCTGGAAAGCCCCAAGTTAGACCCATCCCCATCCAGGGCACGGCTAGGGAGGAGACTCGATCGCAGGAGGTGCCGGGGTTTGTCAAGACATCAAGCTGAAGGTGTTACAGATGTCATGACCGGTAGTTGGTAGGAGTCAGGACATCTACTCTGGCCAAAGCCCATCTTGGTAACTGCACTCTTGCTGCCCTAAAATCCTTCCACACACATTCCTGAGCCAGGTCTGGGGACCCTGAGGGTGGAAAGAAAAGCAGGTCAACAGGTGGAAGTGAGGTTTATTGTGGGAGCTAGATGCAAATGAGAGCTGGGATGTTAGTACACAGGAGCAATAAATAAAAATGGTTCGCGAGCTCTCAGCGGCAGGTTCCCTCCTCTCCCTGCTGCCTTGCTGAGCGTATGAGGCAGAGAGAAAATAGCTTTACACTTTATTCAATATATTAAATCTTAATATTTAAATAGCTATTGCCCAGGCCCAAAGCTGCCTTGCTGGGTGTCCTTGAAGTTGCAGAGGAGACCAAATGGATCCCGCCGCACTGCAGAGCCGCAGCCTGTGGGCCAGTGTGGGGGTCAAATGGGAACTTCGGGACTGGCCCCTCGGTAGCTGAGAGACCTTTGTGCGGCTGAACTCCAGTGAAGGGAGGGCTGGGGGTGCAGCAGGCACTGTTTCTCAGCCTCGAAGACACCGCCGGTTGCCAGGCGAGTGCCACGGGGGTGACCCAAGAACGGGGTTTCAAGCCACCGTTCAATAAGGTCATTAAAGAGCCCCCCTGTTTTGAGCCTGTGCATGGCCCTGCTCGCAGGGATGGACGAGCCGTGCAAGGGGCCCAGAAGAGTGGGGGAAGAGGTCTCGGGGACCTGACTTAGCAGCACTCCCTGGGCTTCTCCAGCAACTTGCCAGGAGCCAGACCAAGAGCTCAGACCTGCGCCCCTTTGAAAGCAGAGGCCGAATTCCCAGCTGGCTGCAGCAAGGAGCAGGAGCAGGATCAGGCCCTTCCTGTGCAAACACCAGCCCCCCTCCCTCTTCCCCAAGGGCCTGGATGGGCAGGGGCACCCTCCCTCCGCGCACTGGGAATCTCTCGGGGCCGGCCCGTAGCTGTGATCACAAACAGCACCCACAAAGCCATAATATTTTGCTCCGCTCATATCTTCTGCGATAGCTGAGCCGTAGCTGCTTGTTGGCTGCAATCCCTGACACAGAAACCTGCAGCTGTTCTGCTCTGTCCTCGCCCTCTGGTGACAGCAGCAGCGCAGCTGCAGGTTGAATTTGGGGTGCCCTCAGCCCTCGAGGGCATGGAGCACCCCTTGGCGCATGGCGGTGGGGCGGATCTTGGCAATAGCTGCGAGAGCATTGCCGGCCGATCGCCCCGGTGTCACTGGCACCTGTGCAAAGGGAGTGTGAGGCACCTTGTCAGGGTGCTTGTGCCGCACGGCCATCTCACACGAGCACTGACACCTCCAACGCAGGGGATGGTCAGCCCCTGGTAACACACGGCCGCCTGGGCTCTGGGAGATCGACCGGAGAGAGGCACCGGGCCTCTGTGCATCCAGCAGCCTCCGGGAACCGCGGCAGATGGGTCTCATCTCTAGGCTGCACGGTCTGGAAGCTCGGGCGCTTCGGGCCTCATCCAGGTGCTGGACATGGGAGCAACTCAGGACTCTCCTTAGTAAATCTGCTTGGCACGTGACTAGGTAACTCCTGTCCTCAGGGAAGCAAACCACTCTGAAGTACCTGATGGGGCAGAGACGGGATGCAGCACAGCCGAATCGTGGAGAAGGGAGGGTGGCCCAGACCTGACCTGGCACTGTCTTTTGCTGGAGAAATTGCAAAAATAATAATACAGGAAGCACTGCGTGTTGCACCCTTGCTGGGGACGTCCCGGGCGCTCTGTCGCTGTGGGAGCGCTGGGCTGGGATCATTGCTGGTGCCAGAATCACAGGAGAGGCTCGGGTTTGGGTCAAGCCTATGTGCCTTCATGCTCGGCTGTGGCAGCCATGGGGCTCTGCTCCCCAGCCATGGGCAGCTGGGGGTTTTCTCCGGAGACTGGAGCTGGGTGGCCACGTGGCAGGGAGGGAGCTGCAGGACAGAGAAATTCCTCCCCCCAGGAGGTTGGGGCAGCCCAGCAAGGTGCTACTAGTACTGGACTGCAGGTGGCTGCAGGCATCACCTGTTTGCTGGTATAAAGAAGGGGAGGTAAAGGAGAGAGCCCCTGGGTCTGACGCAAATAAGGGGTCTGGTACGTGGCAAGCTCAGGACTCCACCACAGCTGGCAGAGGGGGCCATGAATTACACGGCAGCCACAGTCAGACTGGCAGGCCCAGGGAGACTCAGGGGTGGTAAATGTGGACCTTCCCGTGGGGTTTTGCACTGGAGGAGGGAGCAGGCTTTTTTTTTCCCTAATGAGATGCTAAATATGAGCATCCCCTGCAGCCCTGGCTATGCCCCCTGCATGCAGACATCAGACAAGCACACACATGCGCACGCAGAGCACGCGCCGGGGGTCTCACGATACGCTCTGAGCTGCCACTGGGCCACTGGCTATTTCGAGCTCTCCCTTGTGCTATTCAGGCGGGCAGACACATGTGCACGCGTGCATGCCTGCACACACGTGCACCCAGCTCCCCGGTGCTAAAACAAGACTCTTGCTTCCAGAGCGGTCCCGACAAGGATTTCCAAGGCGACTGCCCACTCCCGGCGCGGGGCGGGGCGGGGCGCAGGGGGAGGTCACACTCTCGACTGGTGCTAATGTTCCCGTCTGGCAGGCGAGACCGGCTGGCGTCAGATTACAGATCTGGGGGGTATTTTTATAAATGGGCCAGGAGAGCTTGGGGTTTTTTTCGAGAATAAAAAAAGGCCCAACCCAGAGGACGCTGGAGAATCAATGCAAAATGCACGCCGGAGGCCACAGGCAGCTGCTGCGCAGCTCTCCTCTGCAGCAGGCTGAGATCATCCGGTGGGGTGGGGGGGTCGTAGCCAAAATCCATCCGCCAGACCAGGGCTGGACTTAGAAGGAAAAACCAGGTTTTACAGTCCCCTCAAGAGGCGGGGATCAGCCTATAGTCAGTGACCTTGAACCTCTGCGGCTTCCCTACTACACCGAAGCCTGAGAGACCAAGTCAGAAACCTGATCCCAGGGCTCTTGGGTCTGTTCCCTGCACTTAATAGTCTTGTTTGGGTTTTTCTAGGGAGCTGTTCAGCTTCTTCAGTGTCTTTTTAATCCTCAGGGCTGTAAGTCTGGCAGAGGGGTTCTGAAACCAGCACTCCTTCATGATCTTCGCCAGGGCAGACAAAACCTAGGTGGGGAAAAAAAAGAGCAAATGAATAACAGCAAGAAAACCCCATCACCAGCTGGAAACAAGGGAGACTTCTGTGGCCTATTCCTGCTTACACCAGGCACAGATTTGACCCCAGTATTAACCCACAACACTGCAGGAGAACGGAGAAGCCTTTCACATGCAGCCAGCCAGGACAAGCCAGTCGTGGAAAAGTTTTAATAGGTGGGCAGCTTCTCAAGCCTCTTTTTTTCCCATTTGCCACCCGGGGTTGGGACCCTCTTAGATACCCTGTAGGAAGCACAAGGTGATGCCTGACGTCTTCAACATCTTTCACGGAAGTAAAAAAGGCAAGATTGTTCAATAAGAAACAAATGCACTTTGTTGTTTTCTTTTGTAAAACACACCGATGTATGAAAAAGGCCCTTTTTCTATATTTTGTCCAAAAATTTACCCCAGGGGTCAAGTTTCTGACTGTACCGAGCCGCTGCAAGGAAAGGAACAGGCCCAGGATGGACAGGAGCTCTGGTTACAGATCCCCTGGGGACCTTGCTGACGGACAGGGGAAGGCCATGCCCGCTGCCCCAGCACTCACCGGGTCAGAGTACAAGCGGTTCGGGATGCAGGGCGTCTGCTGGTCAATGCACACCACTTTCTTCATGTCCTCGAAGCTGGGGTCGCTCGGAACCACGTCAAAGAACGGAGGCCTGTACTCCTCCACGATGCCTGCAGGAGCAAAGGGGAGCCCGGTGAGAACAGGGCATGGCTGTGGCCGCAGGCAGCACCCACTGTGCTGGGGACATCAACTCTCTGGCATCACGTGCTACAGCAACGTATACACTGCCCGGTCTATGCCAGGGTGTATGCACGGGCAGCACTGCCTAGCCCTGGACCACTGGCGTGTGTATTTGCAGCAGCCTTGTCTGCAGCAGGCATCGCGCCCGCTGTCGGGACTCTTTCGGAGACATGAGGTTCCCACTGCAGCTCCACTGCAGCTGCGCAGGTGGCAGACAGGAGACCACTGGAGCAGATGCAAGGTTTGCTGCTGACATCCCTGGGCTGGGCTGCACCTTTGCCCCATGGAGGCTGGTTCTGCATGGGCAGCTGCACAT